TATATATATGTATATATATATATATATATATATATATATATATATATATATATATATATATTATATATATATATATATATTTTTTCTTTTTCTTTTTTTTAACATCTTCGCTTCCAACAAGGCTGCAAGCAACCACTAATTAGTGTTGGAAGTTACTGGAAGCAAGAAGATGAAGATTGTAGAGCAAGATAACGATTGACAGACAACTTAAAAGATTGCAAATTATATGAATCAGGAAAGCAAGATGAAGGAAGCGAATTCCAAAGAACTGATGTTCGAGGAAAAAAACTAGACGAATAAGAGTTTTTGGAGCACTTAGGAACAGTAACAGAAAAAGGATGAGACTTAGTTGAATGACGAGTAACACGAGAATGAATTTTTGTAGATGGCACAAGAGACGCTAGCTCCTTAGAGCAGTGCCCATTATAGTATTTGTAGAAAAGAGAAAGAGAAGCAACATTATGACGATGTGACAGAGGTTGAAGGTTGGCTGCAAGAGCAGGCCCAACTATGTTTACAATGCGTTTTTGCACCTTGTCTAAAAGAAAAAGGGCATCATTAGAAGATCCACCCCAGATATGGCAACAATATTCCATACAAGGCCGGATTTGAGATTTATAGAGATAGAGAATAGAATCAAGAGTAAGAAAGTGACGAGCTCAATAAAGAGAAGCAACTTTAGCAGATGCTAATTTTGCAACGGATTTGATATAAGGTTTCCAAGAAAGATCAGAAGTAAGAGTTAATCCTAGAAGATGAAAGGTAGGAGACTCATTAAGTACATTACCGTTCATAAATATAGGAAGGTCTAAATCATTGCGATAACAATTGGCTGAAAAAAATTGAGTTTTATCTGAATTAAAGTTCACCAGCCACTGTGAGCCCCATGCTGTAGCAGAAGTGAGATCCTTTTCAAGCTCAGATGCCCCCTAAACCCCCCCCCCCCACCCGCAAGCAATCAGAGGGAGTTGGTTTCTTATCGTGACAAGAATAAATGGTAGTATCATCAGCGAACAATGCCACCTTAGATGTGAGAAAATCTGGAAGATCGTTAATGTAAATTAAAAAGAGTATAGAGCCAAGGATTGAACCTTGAGGAACCCCTGAGGTTACAGAATAAGAAGAAGAGTGCTGTCCATCAAGGACAACTTTTATACTACGATTGGAAAGGAAGGATTCAATAATCTTAAAGATGTTTCCAGATACACCGTAAGGAGAAGACCAGCATGCTAAACTTTATCAAGCGCCTTAGAAATGTCAAGAGCAATGGCCTTAACCTCTCCACCTTTATTTAATGCGCGATAAAACCTATCGGTTATTACTGTTAGCAAATCAGCTGCAGAACGAGAAGATCGAAATCCATATTGATGATCAGAAAGTAGGTTATGAGATTCGAGATGAGAGATTAAGTGTTTGTTAATTAAAGATTCAAAAACCTTGCTTATGATAGGAAGAAGACTGATGGGATGGTAGTTAGACGAATCAGATCGCTCTCCAGAATTTTTAAAAATAGGGATAACAGGTGCTGCTTTCCAGCAGGCTGGAAAACAAGACTCTGATAAGCACTTGTTAAATAGTTTTGAAAGGGTAGATGACAGCTCCGGAGAACACTTTAGCAAGACTATAACAGGTATGTTGTCCGGGCCGCAAGCTGTAGAAGAGTCTAAGCAGGAAATCACTTTAGATACAGAAGCTGGAGTGATACGGATGTCGAGCAGTGGATCAACCTGTTTGACGGCTATATCAGGTAGAACGCAACTAGTGGAATCAAGAGATGATATTGATGAAAAGTTCTTGGCAAACAATTCAGCTTTGTCTTTAGGTGAGATTACAAAGTCTGAACCGTACAAAAGAGGTGGAATTACAGACTTGCCCTTATTATTGATACTATTAAAGATTCTCCAGAAGTCACGAGAGCCTATTTTTTGTGATGAAATACGAGATTTCATGATCTGAGAATAGCAGGCTTTGGCATTAGACAAAACTTTTTGACAATGGTTCCTAGCAGTAATAAACAGACGTCTGTTTTCTGGAGAATTGTTTTGCTGATAGATATGGAAGTTATGGTTTCGATTAGCAATTGCAGCAGCACAATGTAAGGAAAACCATGGAGAAGAGTGAGGCTTGACCTGGAATCGTCGAGAGGGAATAAAGGATTCCATTCCAGCCTGAATCCATGAAGTTATGTAAGAAGCACATTTGTCAACAGGAAGACGAAAGATTTCTACCCAGGGGCCATTGCGAAGAAAATCACTGAAAGAGTCCCAGTCAGCTTTGTAGGTAGTTGTAAGATGTACAATCATAGGGGGATTCTGATTGTAAAGAAGAATGAGATAATAGTTTTAGAGAGACCAAACCATGATCAGAAGCACCTAAGGGTGAGTGTGGAGAAGCTTAGCACTGACTAGGATCAGAAACAAGACATAAGTCGAGTAGAGAAGGTAAATGATTCGAGTTGTCTGGAAAGCGAGTTGGAAAGTTGACTATTTGAGTTAGGGATTGAGAAAGGCAAAAGTTGTGGGCCTTAATGCCTGCAGAGTCACTGACACTAGAGCCAAGCCATTCAGTGTGATGAACATTAAAATCACCGACAACAACAATATTGGCTGATGGATAAAGAATGAGGGCTTGGTCAATATAGTCAGAAATAATATCAAGAAGAGTGCAGTCTTGAGATGAAGGAGATCGATACAGAACAAAGAGAAAGGTGATAGAGTGAAGTGGTGCTAAATGAAAGCACATAAAAGAGTAGTCTGTGGATTCGAACCTAGTTTCCCGACAAATAGGTGAATTCTTACGAATGTAAATGCCTAGGCCAAGCATGTAACTATTGGAGTCTTTACGAATTAAAGGAAGATAACCATCAACACTAAGATCACAAGATGAGACAGCTGAACTCAAATTAGTCTCACAAAGAGCAAGTAGGTTTGGTGAACTTTGCAAGAGATAAGACTCAACAGAAGAAAAGTTACTTCGAAGACCACGAATATTGGTGAATGATAGATTTAGCGAACTTGGTGATGACTGTGGTTTTTTGTGTTTTATAGTTTTTGTTACTTTATTCATTTTTAAATTTGTTAAAGAACTTGACTCGAAACATAGATAGTACTCAGTGCACTGTTTTATATATATATATATATATATATATATATATATATATATATATATATATATATATATATATATATATATATATATATATATATATATATATAAATTACAAATTAGTAGAAGATCACTTAGAAAATTTTTTTCTCATTTAACACTGTGTTTCAACTATAAAGACTCATCAGAAAAATTATGAGATTATGAAGATTATAAAGACTCATCAGAAAAATTATGAGATATTATGAGATTTTTCTGATGAGTCTTTATTGATGAAACACAGTGTTAAATGAGAAAAAATTTTGCTAAGTGATTTTCCACTAATTTGTAATTGCTTTGTTCTTTTAAAAACATTGAGCACTCTTTTTGTAGAATACATTTTAAATTGTTTAAATATATATATATATATATATATATGTATATATAAATATATATATATATATATATGTGTGTGTGTGTGTGTGTGTGTGTGTTAGGGCCCTGTTTTGGTTTTTTTAGATTTCTGCACTTTGCTGCAGTAAAAATAACGTTACTTATCCATAAATACCTTCTTAATAAAATGTTAAAAAGGTTAACTAAGGCAAGAAGCATCAAAAAAGGGCTTACACAATTTTTTTATTTATTTATTTAGAAATATATATTATTAAATAAAAAATGCTTAAATTTAGATTTCAAAATGTTGATTCGAAGCATGATTCGAATAGTTAATCAAGACCTGCTTTGATTCGAGATTCGATTTGAAAAAAAATGCCAATTTGAAGGGCTTTAATATATAAATATATACTACATTTTTAAAAACATATAAATTATATATATATATATATATATATATATATATATATATATATATATATATATTGTATATATAAATATATATATATGTATATATATACATATATACAAACGTATACATATATACAAACATATATATATATATATATATATATATATATATATATATATATATATATATATATGTATATATATATGTATATATATGTATATATATATATATATATACATATATATACATATATACAAACATATATATATATATATATATATATATATATATATATATATATATATATATATATATATATATATTCATTTATTTATTTATTTTTATATATATATTAGGGCCCTGTGACTCGGCATATTTTGCTTTAAATGGAATTTTGAATTGGAAAAGTCTTGATTTGCTAACTTAATCAGGAACCAAATCAGCTTTCAATCAATGCAAATCAATCAATCAATTTATTATATTTTCAATCAATCAAGTATATATTATTAAAAAAAGAGTTAACATCTAATGTAACTTACATATCAGAGAAACAGCATTATCACAATTGTCCAACACGTGCAAGCACGGAAACAAGGACGCTAAAATGGTTATGAGATGATGGTGATAAATCTTAACTTAAATTTTTTGTATGTTTATATCAGAAGTAAACAAAAAGTCAACATCCTCTTTGGTCAATTGAAGCAGACAATAGCACTGTTACAACCGATATAAACATAGTCATATTTTTTTTATTCTGTCTTCAAAACTGAAACCTTAAGGTATGCCAACATTCGTGGAAAGTTGTTGAAAACTTGTTTACAATTGAAGACGTTCAAAGTAATCATGAAAAAACTAAATCAACTGGTATATATATGAAGTGTTGTGGGACCTTCTAAAATATTTTTCATTCTAAAATTTTTAAAAATCAGTGTTTTTTAACTGCTTAAGGTGCATCATTCAAAATTAAAATAAAGTTATTCAACTGTTTTATTAAAATTTATTCAAAAGTATCCAGCGTCTGGAAAGAACAAAGAAGATGATAATTAAATGGATGACTAAACTAAAAAGAATGATGTGACTAAAAGAATATTAAATGAGCAATAATTTCAGATCAATGATTTCAGATGGTCTGGAATATAAATATCATAAGTATCATAAGTAGGAACTATAAGCAAAGATAAAACCTGTTACAGATGACGGGATAAAGCGTGTTGAGTTACAATTAAGAGTGTGTTCCAGATGACATCACAAAGCTTCAGTTAAAGAAAGAAGATGCTCAAGTTTATGTATATCTGGAAAAAAGTTCAGTAAGCCTTTAAGCTCTCTGGCACTCAATTTTAATTTGATTTTAATTATGGCTATTTTCAGGGAGTAGGTTTTCTTGGCAATCAGAGTGTAATGTATAAATGTGTCCTCCAAGAAATACTAAGTACAGTTAAAAAGTTTATGTTTTTCTTTAGCGGATGTGTCATAAATTAGCATTCAAACACATTTTTGCCTCCATCATCTGACTGTTTATTCGGATCTTGTCCAGTAAAAAACAACATAAATCGGTCAATTTGTCCGACCTATACTTTGTGCACAATTAGTATATAATTATTTTATGTGTTTCAAATTTATTAATACATATACTTAGTATATACATACACATTACAGTATAAATTATTTCTTCTTTTAAAGATAAGCTTTTAAAAATAAGCTTTAATAAAGCTTGTTTTTTGAATAATTTATGTTTTATAAAATAAGCTCTAAATATAGTTAAAATTTACCTAAAATAATGAAATTTATTAATTTATTTAAATATAAAAAATAGCCTTTAAAAAAATAACCTTTATTTAATTAATATAAAATTAATATAATTAATATAAAATAAAAATTATTTATTAATTAAATTTAAAAAATTATTAATTTTTAATTACTTTTTTCCAAAGGCTAGAGTGCTCAAACAACAAAGAATTTGAGAAACTTAAAAGTTGAAAGTAAAGTCAAAAACTATGTAAAATAAGAAAAATATATATATAGATAGAATAAAGTAAAAATTCTAAAAATTTGTTGTTGTTTTTTGTAACTCATATTTTTTAGTATTATTAATTTTCATATTGTGGTTAATTTTCAGTTAGTTTTATGTGGAGATGCTGTTATGTCGTCTTATAGCAATGATTTTTTTTCAGTTTATTACTGTTTGCAACTATAACTTTGTATTTATAAATGATTTTTGCATGGAAAGTAATACCGGTTTATTTAAATTATCATAATTATATTTTTATTATTATTGCTATTTTAATACTATCTTATTATTATTGTTGTTTTTTGTTTTTTTGTCATTGCTTTTTTAATATGTTTAAGTTAAGCTTATTATTAGTATCTTTATTAGATATTCTCATGATTGGAAATGATTGGACAATGTTTCTTTTTTCTTTTTGTTGATGTTATCTTTTTTAGTTATCACCCATACAAAATACTTGAAATATTTCAATTTGAAACTTTCAAATTCAAAATTCAAATTCAAATTCAAAAACAAACAAGAGAAATCCACCGGCTAAATGACCAGGAAGTCATTTTAAAATACTGAATGATTGCTAAATCTTATTATTCAGCCAAAATTTCATTCAGCTAAGTCTCGTTTGTTCTAGTGCGTTCATTCAACTAAGTCTCAAACCTTTACTGTATCTGTTCCTTCACGCTCTTAAAACTTTTATTTGTCTTTTCCTCTCACATCTGTGTGTTTTTAGTTTATGACGTAACTAAGACTTGATTTATTTTAAATATTGTAATATAAATATTGATATTTTGCATATGTAGAAAAAGTTACTGCTATTTTTTTTCTCTGTTATTTTATTTGATATATTTGTATATTCACCATCTTTCTAGTAATTTGTGGATTTCCTTTCAAATGTACTCCTTGTTTATTGAGGCCAAAATGGAATCAAGCCAATATGGATACCCACTTCAGTGAAGCATATTCTAGTGAGCGCGTTTCAATCAAGCCAATATGGATACCCAGTTCAGTGAAGCATATTCTAGTAAGTGCCTTTTCCATTGGTCAAAACAAATGGTAGTCAGACAGAACAAGGTCTGGGATCTTATATTCTTATTTTTCTTTTAATTTTTTTTGTACATCTCAATTGTTTTCGATTATTACTATATATTTTTTATTAATTGTCTGCAATTGTCTTATTGTTTTGGCAATGTATTTTTACAGATATTGGCTTGATGATCTGCACAAGTGTTTCGAGACCAAATGCAAAACGAGACAGCAAAAACATGAATTACTTTTGTGCTATTAGAATTTGAATTATTAATTTCAAACGAAACCTCTTATATGTTTATGAAAAAAATGTATTTTAGAAATGGTTTTTAATTTTTCTGTGATATACAGTTCCGAAAAATAAAAAAGCACCACTAAGGGTATTTTCCTTTTTGTTAAGAAAACACCATGCAAAATAAATTTTTTTTATAGCTTTGCTGTTTAAAATATTAGCTAACATGTTTATTTTCTAAAACAAATCATTTTGGGAAAAAAAATGCTTGGTGTTGCTCGATTTTAATCAAAAATGCCAATTCCTACCGAAAAATAAAATAGCACCACACACTATTTTGTTGTAAAATACTCTGATAACGGTAAAAATAATTGTGAAAATGTTAGGACTTGGTTAACTCGATGCCAAGACTTTGTGTAGCCGTTATTGCCAATAAAGGTCACGCTACAAAATACTAATATGTTAAGAAATAACTAATATTTATTGTAAAATATTTAAAACGATCGTTCTCATAATATTTCCTTATTTTAAAGTACACATTAAAGCTGTGGTGCTATTATTTTTTTCGCGTTTTTTTTTTGAATTTTTGTTTAATAAATGAATACTATATATTAAAACTTGTATATTTTGTTTTTTTATAAAAATTATAAGCCATTTTACTTTTAAATATGCATTTAAAAGATTTTAACCAATTTTTGGTGGTGTTGTTATTTTATTTTTCGCAGCTGTATGTTATCCAATTCAGTAAGTTATCTCTCGTTTACACATCGAAGAGATTGGACTGACAACAATAAAACTTAATAACACTACTTAATAAGGTATTTTATGTATTTTACGCTGAGTCCCATATATCCACAAAAATGCATTGTCTTTACGAGAACAAAAAGGAGTTAGGTTTTGAATAAATATCGCTAGGAAGACAGTCAAATCGCGTAGGTTACGGTGTCTTAAACGCTTTTAATCTTTGTACTATTGTATAATTTTGGGGGACCTCCCCCGTAACCTTACCTTATTGACGCTCCCCGGTGAGGCAGATTTGGTACGGGTACCACTGCCTACCCCTTCCCCTTACTTTGAAACCCGTGTTGTCGGCCCTGTATGTTAATAACAAATTAGGAATTTTCGCTATTCCGTGAAAATGTTAAAACATTTGGATAAAAATGTTTGTAAGTACAGTAAAATCCCGTTAACTCGGACACTTCGCTTAACTTGTACATTCGCAAAGTCGAACTATTAATCTATTCCCCTTAAGAGTCCGACTTAATGGGATTATACTGTATAATATTTTTGAATTTAAATGCAACCCTTGCGATCGATCAATGTACCCCAATACCAATACACTACGGGCACATCGACTTTTTAGTTGGGGTACTTTGATATCATATGGGCACGTTGATTACGTGTTTAAAACTGCTATTCCTACATAAAAAAAATGTTTTACTTTATGTTAAGATTTTTAGAAAAAAAAAATCTAAAAATAGAGGTAATATGATGGTGTATAAAAAAAGCTAATAAATATTGTAATTTAAGGTGGTCGTCTAGTAAAAAAATAAAAAATACAATTTGATGGAAAGTTTATTTTATTTTTCAACATAAAGAAGTTATATTTGTATTATCAAAAAAAAAAAAATATTAAATAATTTTTGTTTTTTAATGCTGAATCAGCAAAAAAAATGCTTAAATCATCACTTTCTTAGAACAAAGAGTTCTAGTTATCTGTACATTCGTTTTGCATGATGTTTGGTTTTGCATGCAGGATATACATAAAACTAGCATGTGAACCAGTAAAAACTTATAATTATGTTTATATCCATAATGACAGCTCTACGATTTGAGGGAAATTAAAAAGGGGTAAAATTCGAAAAAAGACTATCCCATAATTCCTAAAATACTCAAAGAATTAAATAGATTCTGGTTCACATACTAACTTATATACAGATGAGCAAACCTGAAACTTTCATTCAAAAATAGTTCATAGAACCTGAGATATACTTGTTTTAAGTCTGAAGTATCACAAACAGAAAAAACTTACAAAATAAAAATAAAAAAATTAAAATGATCCTTTAGAATCTCCTCCTTTCTGTTGTTTTCTTTATCAATAAATAATTTTTTAAGTTTCTTCATTCTTAAGAAAGTTTATATTTTCAAGTTTGGTTAATAATTTTTGCCAAAAGTAATCAGCAAAACTTGTTGCTAAGGACGTTGCTAAGGGAACAAACTAATTAATTTTATTATAGGAAGTAAATTTTGGAAAAATCTAATTAAAAAACATGTGCAAAAGTATATATATTTTCTAAAAGAGCAAAAATTTCTCTTAAGGAAATCAATATTAAGGTATCAATATAACAGTGTTGACACTATACTGCGGTAATTTATTTAGCATGTTTGTATTGCATGTTTATATTTGTTTAGCATGTTTGTTTGCATGTTTATATTTATTTAGCATGTTTATAATTTATTTAGTATGTCTATAATAATGATTAAAAAATAATGGAAATGTATGAGGTTACTAATGAAAAAAGTTTGAATAAGTATGTTATCTTTTTTAATTAAAAAAAATTATTAGAAACATTAAGTTAAAAACATTACAAAAAAATATTTTTGCGTAGAGTAGAATTTTGTAGTGTATAATAAATATACACCTTCAAAAAGTTAAAAAAAAATTCAATTACACAAGCGAGTTTCTTTCAGTTCTTCGAAAAGCTCAAGTTTATGATATTTTACGGAAGTTTGTCAAAAGACTGTTTGATGCAGTCAAAAAAGCTTAACTTCATTATAAACATAACCACAGATAGCTAGCCAAAATTTATTCAATTTTTGCTGCACAAATCTCAAAATAAAACCATGAAATACTTTTAATACATGATAAGATAAGATGAAATTAAAATATTTATGGTAAGAAAAATTTTAATGATAATATATTGAACATTGATACAACGATCAATGCATCCCACACACTCAAAGATCAATGCACCCCTATAGGTACAAGCTACATACCTAGAGCTATATCTCATACAAGAAGGTAGCACAAATCACAAGTTATAAATATTTATATACCCAAGACATAGACTTACAAAATAGGATGGCTAAGCATTCATATAGTAATTTCATTAAAGATATGATTGAATTACTTTGCAACGTAGATAAAATCACTATTTATAATGAAAAACAAGATTTTCTGATTTTAAACCCTTTGCAAAAATATTCTGAAAATATTAGAATATATAATTCAAATTGCCACTCATTTTTAAAAAAAATGAAAGAGTAAACACTAAAAATTAATGCACCCCGGCGATCAAAGCAACCCTATCTCCCCTAAATTAAATTTTAAAACATCTTGAGATCAGGCTTTGCAACTTTAGCAATTTGGTTTTACGGGTGCTGGCCATACAATATTTGCATACAAAAGCTGACAAGACTACAGTAAAACATATTACCTGATATTACTAACATATTACTATCAAGAAAAGGTTTCGACTTATACAAAACATGTGTCCTATTACAGAGGACACCTTTGTTTCAAGAAAACCAATATGGTTCTTCCATGACTAATTTTCTTCAATAAGTACTCCAACATTTTTAAAATTATTTTTCACAATTAATTACATTTTTATTAATACGAAGTTCGGTAGCCCAAGGTTTAGGTAACTTTAAAGGAAAATCATTTGATTGTTTTTTTATATGAAATAGAGTAACAATTCAACAAATTTTTTTGTTTCAAATTCCTATGGAACTTTTTTTTTATAAAGATGTGTTAACTTTTTGATATGTTGATGCGATATAAAAGGAGAGAAAATAGGAAATTTTCCGCAAAAATATAAGTTTCTTATTAAAAAAGTGATTTAGCACTAGTTTCTTAAGATTTTGGGTGATCGAGTACTAGTTTTTTATAATAAAAAAACGTATTTATCTATTTCTAATTGAATTTTACTTTTTAGATTTAGAAAGGTCTGGTTTAAGAGGACCCCTCACTATTCAAAACTGTACCCCTCCTCACTATTCAAAACTGTACAATTTTATTTGGTAAATTTGTGGAAAAATTATTTCGGGGTATGTTTCTAAGAAAAACGCAAAATAAAGTTCGTTTATTTTAAAACAAAAAATTGTTAGTGTTTTTTAACAAGTAAAAATAATTTATATCCTTAATAACCTTAAGTTTACTTTTTTTCAATAACTTGACAAGAAGAAAAAGTATTAATGTATTAATATTTCTGAGAAAAAAAAATTTTCTTAAACTTTTTTTTAGAATAAAAGTTAAAAAAATCAAAATAGGAGATTTTATTTTAACTTGATCTTTTGCGCAGAGATTTTAATTGAACTTAAATCGTTTTTGAAGTTTTTATTTATTTAAATACTCTGAGAGGGCAAACTTTTGATGTTTTCCGTTATTTTTTTTCATAGCTAAATTTAGTGTTACTTAATTTATGGACAATAATAATTTGGTGTAACTAGGTGTTGTGAATTTCCTTTATCGAAACAAGTATTTTTAGAAAAGAAAGTATAAAAGATTAAAAAATAATAACTTTTTAACATTGGTGGTCCGAAAATCGCAAATAAAAAAGTACTAAGACTTGGGTGCCTTTTCCTTATATATACCTTATATATAATAAAACAAAAAGTTTTCAATTTTAATATGATTAGATATACAAGTCTTTTAAAAATACATAAATAAAAACGCATAATCTCAAAAAAAAAATTTGAAAATTTATTTTTTGGGATTATACGTCAATTTCATCATCAACAAAAAATCATCTGTACGATTTCTTCTCGAATGTCGCATTCTATTACACATTCCATCTGAATAGGGTTACATTGTCAATTAACTTGTCTATTATTTTGTCTGTTAACCATAAAAACCTAGTTGGATGTGTTTAATAGAAGTGCATATTTGAATAAAATAATCATTATACATTTAAAAATCCTCCAAAAAAAAAAAAAAAAAACTACTAAAACAGAAGCAAAACTCAATCAAAAAACAAAAATACACTGTTCTAAACCAAATTGTTTTTCGAACATAAATATTGGTTTGAGAAGTTAAAATAACAACATATTCAAAAACTTAAGATAAAAAATATATACTTTTTAAACATTTATTTGTTTTACAATATATAAGATAAAAAGTATATTCCTTATACCGTTAAAATTACATAAAATATAAGAAAAATTATAATCAACAAAAATTAAAATATCAAACTATACAAAGCATACTAGCTGTTATAAAAGTTTTTTGGGAGAAAAAAAAAAAAAAATAATATATATATTTATATATATATATATATATATATATATATATATATATATATATATATATATATATATATATATATATATATATATTAAAGCATTTTCAA